AAAAATGACGCAAAATCGTGCATTCTAAGCGTTTTCTGGAACCTTTCTTAATCCTTTCGCTGCCAAACAGGGGTAAACTGATTTATGTTTTCTATACATGACAAACTAATTTCACTGATTGTAAGCTTGACCCTACTTCTTTCAGTTGCTCTGACTTGAATAGAGACCAGAAATGTCCTACCACAGAGAAGGTAACCTGTCTAAAAATCATATACTTAAGAGTCAAAAGTCGGTAATATGAAAAAGAACTATTGCAAATTAAGTTATCACTACTTATAAAAGAAAGTTTGTGATTATTCTTTATGAATAATTTAATTACATGAGCTTGGGATACAAAAGTCAAGATTCATATCATATAATCATTTATCAAGAAAGATTTTTTATTTATCAGCGTTACATCGTCTGCTGTGTTTCTTATAACATGTTTTATGAACAACTTTACGACAGAGAACACATATAATTATGTATGTTTCGACCTTTTCCTGCCACCAGGGACATATCGTACAGAACAAACAGAACAATCTCTTTCTTTTCGACCCGGCAATATTCTCAAATGTTGGTTATTTTTTTCATCATTCAAGACCCCAAGAGAGGCACGATTTCTTGTCATATGATCTTCGGAAAATGTCATCAATTAATAATTTTATAAAATGGAGGCGAGATCTAACATTGTGAGAGTTCTTCTATCGTACCTTAATATGAACAATAATGTGTTCTTAATTCTTGACAGGCGTACAATAATTATTCACTGTAATTGTAATTTAAAATTTTATAATTGTTCACAAAGTTCTGAGGATTGTGCGCGCTTTTTTTTTTCTTTCTTTCTTTTTTTTAATAAAGACTAGTATGGAGGGATAATACGTTGAGAGAAGGGACAAAATAATAAATGAGTAAACACATGAACCGATCGAAGTTAGATTATTTGTATCTCTTGTATCCAACCCCTTGATTTATTATTTCTGTTTAACTGTTTGGCCTTTCCTAGCGTATGCCGTATATATAAATATAGTCTCAAAAATTTGAACGCAGTAAAGTTTTTTCATTAAAATTTATTCCATGCATAAAAATTCACTGGTGTTTTTTTTAAAGGAACATGGGCTTAAAACTACCTGTTTGTTTTCAAAACAAACTTCTTCATTGAATGAATTGTTGAAAATCAGCATGAAATAGACAATGGATCTGGCATTTCTCGGCAGCATTCTTTTATATCCTACATTTCTAAAATTGTCTGTGATCCCTAACTTCGGCCGGAGGATAAACTCGAAACCAAGGGTTAGGATAAGCCATAATCCGATGGATGCATTAATGGATGACGTCATTAATGTGTACTGCACCTTTTTGCGTACTTTTCATCTTTTCACGTTTTTGAGGGTTTTTTTTTTAATTTTTTTACTTGCGTTTTTCTCACCCGTTCTTTGTAAAGGTATTTTGTTCTTATTTGAATAATTTCTATCTTCTATATTTTATGTATTTACATTTTTACTTATATTCTTTTTACTACGATACATTTTTTAAAGTAAATCCTTGAAAATTTCAGGAAAGTAAGCCTAAAATGCATATATAAAATATACTGCAAAAGCGCTGAAAAAAAGAGAGTAAATTTGAGACTCTATACTTCTAAATATAATAAAATTATTATATCTATTATTCTATAATATTTATAAAAGAATCCTTACATAATTTTATTTTCATAAATTTCATAATCCATATTTTTTAAAATTGGTAAAAAAACGCGCGAAAATTACAAGATGGAGGAATTAAATTTAGCGCAAAAACGGCGACGTCATAGTACATAACGTAGTTCATAACATTATTTGAATTGGCCGATGAATCGGCCCTTTGGCACTGACAGGAGTATGACTTTGGGCCGATAATCGGCCCTGTGGCACAGAACTCGTTAATCTGAAACGCAAGTTTTGTTTTAATTATTTTTTCGTCAATATTCTGGTCTCAAAGCAAAATATATAGATTCAATGTACGACTTTTAGTTTGTAGTGACAACATCAAAAGACCGATATGTAGGATAAATCAAAAATCGTAATTCACATAGTTAAGTGTGTGGCTGCTGGTTTTTTTTTTTTTTTTTTTTTTTTTTTTTTTTTTGTTATTGAGTTTCGGCTTGAATAAAAACGTATTATACTTGTCAATTATGTTTTTTTTTCAAAGTAAGTTAAGAGGGGGCTGATCATCTTTGATTTAGCTATATGAAATTAGGTTTTTATTACACAGTTCCTAACTGGGATAAAAAGGTACACTCAGGGTAGACTCAGAAAAACTTTTCGAAGACCTCATTGCTACATGTTTGTGCTGTTTTAATATGTATACCGGCTGATTAATGTCGGATCTGTCTATTCCGATCAAGAATTTTATGTGAATGCGCACCCTGCCCCCTTTTCATTTGGATCCACTCCCGAGTCGAGGATATATTTAACGACGACAACAAAAGTGTTCGCATTTTTTTTTTTTGCTGTCTTTTTGTCATAACACCCTCTTTTTTTTTATCAAACTGAAGTAAACAATGGTAATTACCGCCAATTCGACTAGTTCGATATTTTTATTATTTTTATTATCAATGCGTTGCTTACACAAACAAGCGTTAACTCTTCATCAAGGGTTTCGTCGTAAGTGAACAATAGTTTAAGGGTATTTTGAGTTAAGTGAAAATCGGGCGGTATGTCAGAAATTTCAAAATTATTCTCCGCATTGGTTTAATTTGGAATAAATTAGTAGAAACAGCATGTTATGCCAGTGCCGAAACCCATAATTTTCTTAAACCAATGCAAATCTTAACCAGTTGTATTTGCAACAAATGATTATTTTTACTATAAATTAATTTTAATCATTCAAATTATAGGAACAGGGCTAGGGTGGGGGACTCCTGCACTTACCATTGATTTGTTTCCTTTTCAAAGAACCAGTCTTTAACCAATTTTCCAATGACATATTGGCTGCGTTCAAACCGTTAAACTCAAAGTCACGATGAGATGAAATAAATTATCGCAAGCCTCGATAATCGTTGGCTTATCTACATCGTGAATAGGCTTTGGGCTCAGTATTGACTGTGTAAATATGGACAATGTAAGCCATATATTGCAACAAATTATTATTAAAATCAATATCATCAACACTACAATCTGCCATATACATTGTACAATTATCAAACTTTAAGGAATATTAGACAACTGAAGCGTTAGTCATAAAGATTGATTGATTGAATGATTGGTGTTCGCTTAACGCCGCATTAGAACAAAAAGGCGAGAGCTAATTTCAAATATATTTTACAATTTGAAGTAGTTTTTAAAATTAGACAAACGGTCCCTAAATATAATAAAACTCAAGTTTAAAACAAAATTGTTAATTTAAAAATGAAATTCAACACTATGACAATAGTCATAAAGAAGGACAATCAATAAACAAAAGACAAACCCGGTAACAGATAAGACACATAACGACAAACAATAGACAATCAACACTGAAAACTAAAAATAAATGAGAAACATATGGATCCCAAAAAACAGGGCCGACGTCAGAGGGTGAACAGAACTTGCTACTTGCAAGACACTCGCCGTGAAAACAATTTGAAGACAAGCTTTTGTTTCAAAGTTATAATTTTTTTTTTAAATTTCCTACATGAGGCATTTGCCTCATTTGCCTCAATTAATGTAGTTACGGCCCTGACGGTTGTCAGTAAAACAGTAGAAAACAATCGATCTAGATCTTTAATGAAATATGCATTTTGAGTGAGGAATTCAATTCATTTGTAAGACTTTTCGTCAAAATGAAGAAAATTGTGTGTTTTATCGGATTATAACGACTGTTTTTATAAATACATAATTTGTTTTGTTTGGTTCATTTTTTTTCCAACTTAACAATATAAGGAGAGATCATAACTCAGATTTTTATAAAATGACCTATTTTGATTTGTAGCACAAAAACCGAGTCCCGTGAGCCCAATTTTTATTTTCTGAAAGCACATTATGAGAGCTATCTTCTCGTTTTATTTAAAAGTTCTATCGTTAAGGTTTGTTTGTTTTTCTCTTCTTCACACTGTTTTTCCATGTATAATTTTTACAGAATCAAACATTTTTGGACAACCGGCAGATTGAAAAAAAGCTCCGTGACCCAAACTTTTTATTATATTTTATAAAATAACATGATAATAATAAACTACATTTTACAAAGGATGGATAAATAAAAAAAATATATACAATTTAATCCCCTTGTCTACCTTAAGTGACTGATTTTATCAAATATGTCAGATGTGTTGAAGACTGCATGGTTTCCTGTTTGTTTGTTTGATATTTTTCTTGAGTAGACTGAGACTAAACATCAGGTAGACATACACTATGGGCTCGGAATTGCCACTTGACATATTCGTTGTCCCTGCAGTCCTCGATTAGTCTAGGTCTTTGTCTGGTTTTAGTGAATAAATGCGAAGCAAAGCTTTAACGGCCATTATGTTACAATACTACAGTTACGACGTCATAGTTTACCATTACGTCAAAGTCAGATGACGGTAACAGTGGCACGTCTTGCCCTTGCAATCAACTTTAAAACTTTTTCTGCATTGAAAATATTGAAATATCCTTGTCGAGCCTTTATGTATTGCCCCTATTCAACTGTGACGTAAAGTACATTGTTACAGAACAGACGATATAGGCAACCGTTGCCAAGCCTAAAAAAAGACCGTTGGCATTTGAAAGGAGTACAGAAAGCCTAAATATAGGCTTTATGGCATAGTAAGGGTTAACGAAAAAAATCAGAGATTTACAATAAATCGATGAAAATTTGACCTTCACTCTCCATATTATATATATATATATATGTTATGCCAGACAAACACAACAGGAAGCCCCACACTATTATTTCATATGTAAAAGAGGTGTCGTCTTCTATCCCCTATCTATATATCGATCCCATATGCATCTCCATGGTTGGTTAATTACACTCAAGAGGAAAATAAATACCTTTCGTACAAAAAATGTGTATAGTATACTTACGCCATTAAAGAAAAATAGTTTCATTGATTTTCATTCCTCCGAAACAGCAGGCAAATTATTATGACAACAGAAAGTAAATTTCAATTTTAAATGACCTAAATGTGCAAAATATTCTGATATTATTTCAGTCAAATGTTTTATTTTTGCATAATACCTTGTTGTTACTTTGTTTGATTACGTTTTATTAAAAAAAGTCTATAAATAGATCATGCATCATCCTTATGTATAGCCACAGGTGCATAAATATACGTGTGTGTAAAAATGACAAATGAGTAGAAAGAGGAGATATGTAAAAAAGGGGTTTTCATGAACTAAAGCATCAGGTAAACTTTGATGTATTTGTTTAATGTTAATAATATGTATATTTTTATTTTTATTTTGCATAGTCATACATTATATCTACAGACTGGAATCAATAAATAGCTATAGGCATGATGTGACTGTGTTACTAAGGTATACATTTTAAAGCATTTCACGTTCAACTATTGATACATTTTGATAATGTTAAAATCAATATATATAATTATGATAATGTGTTGATAAACAATGCACCTTTGTGTTAAAATATTCCAGCTTTGGCGGTTTCAAGGTCACTTTTTAGACTAAAAAACTCAATACATATTTTTATATATATATATATTAGCACGCCATTTACGAATTAACGTATTTAAAGAGTAAATTGAATATGTTAATTAGTAAGGCGTGGCTATATGATTTGTCACATTAATGGGCTATGACAAATGTCAAAGGTTAATGTTGACCAATAAAACTTGACTGTACTTTTCAATATGTCAATCAAATAGTGGCGTGATACTATATTAAATTTTGATTTTCAGAAAATGAACACATGCAGCAGATGACAATTGGATTTGTATTTCAGATACAGGTACATTAAAGATCTTTTAAATTGATTCAGACTTGATAGCCATTTAAAAGAAAGACATTAATACTATTTTTCCATTCCCAACAACTGTAAAAAGATCGATTAATTTATTTAAATGGTTGTTGATTGCGAGAAAGGCCCAGGGACAAATATTTGAAGCATGATCAATTAACGGAGATTCATGGAGAAAATTACTAAACATCCAGTGCCATATATTTTTTTAGAATATTATTAATTTCGACAAGATAAAAACAGGAGTCCAACCAAAATAACAGTAGGAAAATGTATAGTCATTTCTATTACATTTTGTTTCACCGTGGCTTTTCTCGAAGGAGGCGGAACCAGACAATAACAACTTCTGAGATGGAAGATAGAGCACTGCATGATTTAAACTCCTCTCATTCTTTGCTATTCCAACGAGATGCAGTCAACGGCGGGATTGCAGAGTGCAATAACTAAAAAAACATTCAGTTAACGCACTCCTCTAAAGATAACCAAAGTTAACTCACTTGAAGATCAAAGGAAAAATTACCATTCATGTTACATTACATTCGTGTTTAAATACGTATGTAAATAACTTTTCAAATAAGCACAATTTACAAGCATCGGGATAGCGCATACATTGTAACATGGCAATTATCGAACGATTACATACCAGGATTTTTGTCCATAAGCCTCATAAAAGGTAATTTTCAAAATATGTCATTATTTCAAATAGTATTTATTTGAAATAACCAGCATTGACTGAATTCAATTCTAATCCCACAAATTTATACTTCATCCTTTCTATGAACAAAATCTAATGTATGCAATCTTAATCAAAATGCGAAATAGGATTATAATGCAAAATTAGATTATCGGGAACTACGTAATATAAGAATTATACTTGTAGCTTTCTCTCTGGTACTTACATGTATAAATCGGTCCTTTTGGCTTAAACACAATAACATAACTTTTCTTTTTCAAATTACTATGGTTATTTGTGTTTATCATATAAATTATTTAACAATGCTTTAATGACGTCCTACTTGATTTTTAAGATTCTCGTGTAAAAACGAAGAAACATACCAAATAGGTAGTGTTATGTAGTGGACATTCATGTTTCGTGTTCTGTAGTTGACAGCATCGGTATGGGGGAAAAGGGGAGGGGCAATAAAAACAAACCTTTTTTTTATTGACTTAAAATAAAACAAAACCAATAGTCATTACTGACTAGTTCTATAAACAAAAATTACGTTATGTTTTTTGTGGCTCATACATCTACAACACATAGTCTATTCGTCTTTGGTCAATTGTAACATGATTTCCCCCAAAGTAGTGGGAGTATATAGTTCAAGACCCGTTAGTCAGCCATTTTCATGTCCATATGCTAACTCAAATACTATATATCGGATTAAAACATTACTTATATGATCGATATAATGAAAGGAAAATCTCTATTGATTTAAAGGTCTGCACCTCAAGGGACAATGTTAATATACTTACTAAAAATAGACCAGAATTTGTCTTGAAGGTGGTATCCGAAAGCAAACTCAACTATTTTATATCAGATTGCAGCCGTACTTTTATAAAGTGTCACCTATCAGATAAATAAAGATATTTAATTTTCCAAATTAGGTCCCCAGGGAGGCATACACATATAATAAATATAATCTTTACGGCATACAGTATTTTACATGACATTCATAAAATACACCTAAAAGAGTGATACAGGCTACGTATCATATGATAGATTGAAGAAAAAAGAAGAATTTAAGAGTTGCTACTCCAAAGATGTGTCAAATGTCCTCTCACTTGACTTTATTTGCAGCTATTTTTAATTTTTTTTATAATACGAGACTAGCAATAATTGTACAGGCTTAAGTAGATACCTACATGTACTCTAATTGCGTACATGTTTTTATACATTATACCGAAAAAAAACCATGTCAACTTGTTATGACATATTTGTTGAATTAACAATTTAATGAGTCCTTTTAAATATCAGCATCAGGAGATTCCATAATCAATGGCAACTTTTTGTAAGGCCGATGCTTTTTATTAACTTTTACCCTGATTTTTTCGTTTCCGTTCTCTAACTTTAGATTGCCTCAACCACATGTTATGAAAATTATACATAATGCTTATTACCACTAATCGCAGATCAAGTTTGAATTGGTGGCGTCACTTTTACCATTCTACAGTTATACCCCTTTACAAATGGAAAAAAATGCTGAATTTTTCGTTTTCGTTCTCTTACTTTAGTCTGCCTCAAACAAATGTTATGAAACTTATGTGCAATGCTTATTACCACAAAACACAGATCAAGTTTGAATTCTGGTGGCCTCACTTTTACTGTTCTAGAGTTATGCCCCTTTACAAATGGAAAAATTGCAAAATGGTTTGTTTCTGTTCTCTTAACTTAAGTTCACCTCATTCAAATGCTTATTACCACAAAACTCAGATATAGTACAAATTTGGGTAGTGTCACGATTACAGTTCTTGAGTTATGTCCCTTTATAATGTTATATGCAATTGGGGGCATCATCTGTGTCCCGTGGACACATTCCCCATTTATTTGTTTATATTATGACGATGTCTGTGTCGTCGTCCGAAGACATTTGTCGTCCGAAGACATTTGTTGTCCAAATCAGTTGTTGTCCAAATACTTTTGTCGTCCGGTCGTATAAAAATCCACGCTTTGACCACATCCATTCTGTGCTAGAACCCTATGCTGTGTCAAATATTAAATCACAATCCAAATTCAGAGCTGTATCAAGCTTAAATGTAGTGGCCATACTTGCCCCAACTGTTATAGGTTTGACCACTGCGGTCATATCAAGCTGCGTCCAGCAGAGCATTTTAATGATTATTGAACGTACTAATTTATTAAAAAAGGAAGAAAAAGAAGGTTATGTATATTGTCACTTAGTAATCTTCAACAGCATATTTAAATACAATAAAATTGAGAATGGAAATGGGGAATGTGTCAAAGAGACAACAACCCGACCATAGAACAGACAACAGCAGAAGGTCACCAACAGGTCTTCAATGCAGCGAGAAATTCCCGCACCCGGAGGCGTCCTTCAGCTGGCCCCTAAACAAATATATATACTAGTTCAGTGATAATGAACGCCATACTAAACTCCAAATTGTACACAAGAAACTAAAATTAAAAATAATACAAGACTGACAAAGGCTAGAGGCTCCTGACTTGGGACAGGCGCAAAAATGCGGAGGGGTTAAACATGTTTATGAGATCTCAACCCTCCCCCTATACCTCTAGCCAATGTAGAAAAGTAAACGCATAACAATACGCACATTAAAATTCAGTTCAAGAGAAGTCCGAGTCTGATGTCAGAAGATGTAACCAAAGAAAATAAACAAAATGACAATAATACATAAATAACAACAGACTACTAGCAGTTAACTGACATGCCAGCTCCAGACTTCAATTAAACTGATTGAAAGATTATGTCTTCATCATATGAATATCAGGCACAATCCTTCCCGTTAGGGGTTTAGTATCATACCATCATAACATATATGAGAAGAACATAACCCGTGTCATGCCAACAACTGGTTTTTAAATAAATGTGTTTAGTGCCGATGCAAAGACCCTATAAGTGAATCAATATTAACGCCAAAATATGCAATCTTTAATGACCTGACAACAGTATCGTAACTATATCTCTTCTTAATAAGTCTATTTAAAGGTTTTGTTAGCTTCAGAGGTGAATACTGACATTTTTGTGCTTTATAAAGAATATTTCCATAAAAAATTGGATGTGAAATACCTGAACGTATAAGAAGTCTGCATGTTGAGCTATATTTACGAATGATGTCCTTATACCGATGATAAAATTTAGTAAATGTTTTGACTAGTTTGTGATATCGAAAACCCTGGTGTAATAATTTTTCAGTAATACATAAATTTCTCTCGTTAAAATCTAAAACATTGTTACATACACGAGCGAATCGTACAAGTTGAGATATAAAAAAACCGTAAGATGGTGACAAGGGAACTTCACCATCTAAAAATGGATAATTAACGATAGGAAATGAAAAATCATCTCTTTTATCATATATTTTAGTAATGATATAGATATCAAGATCGAGGAAAGGGCAGTGGTCATTGTTAGTATTAACTTTATTTAAAGTAAGTTCAACAGGATAAATTTCTTTAGTATACATACTGAAGTCGTCATTATTGAGAGCCAAAATATCATCAAAATATCTAAAAGTATTATTAAATTTGTGTATCAGATGTTGTTTCGATGGGTCTTTGCTGATTTTTGTCATAAATTGTAACTCATAGCAATACAAAAAAAGGTCCGCAATAAGTGGTGCACAGTTCAATATAGTTCTTGCTCTTTTTCAAAAAAAATGTCACTTGTTTACACTTGTTGTACGGAAAAGTTAGTATAAAATGAGTCTCACCGAAAGCTAATGGTAGTTTTTTATGCGTTTTTTTTAACTTAGATTTTACAATGGATGGCATGCGAAGCGTAACAGTTTAAAGTAGTTTACAAAATGACATCTCATATATGAATTTGATACGGTACATTCTTTTTATTGTTAAAATTCTAATGATTCTACTTATGAAAATCTATACAGCAGAAACTTTTGAATTTTGTTTTTCATTTTATACTGTAGGGTAAAATAATTTTCACTTCAAAGAAACCAAAGTAAATTGTTATCTTTGATGAGCGTTAATACTTTCTTTGCAAATACTAATGAACGACAATTAACGTACATGTACCTAGCTGCGTCCAGCATTTTAAAAATAATTCTATTGGGTTATGAATGCGTTGGCCGATGCACATTTTGTATGAAGCGCACCATCAACGCTGACAAGTATATCCCCCTAGAATTATAAAATGAAGCATTGGATAAGCGTTGGAACGTTAAAAAGAAACCACGAACCCGGCGGGTTGCGATTTTTATGGTCCTAAATCTGTAAAAGTCAATAGTTTGTTCCCAGGAATTTCAAAATTATTTTTCTTTTTTTTAAATCTTAAAAA